CATAATTTATATGCAGCACATGAATTAGTGGGTACTTTTTCTGCTTAGAACAACAATAATAACAAGTAGTAATGGTAATGGTAGTAAAAGAATAAACATGGCCTCCTTGTGCCATCAAAGTTCTTGAGCTCCATCTTAAGCGGTTATTTCACACAGATAATGCTTTCACTAACCTGAGTGCATGCACAACTGTGCAGCTGCTGTTGCACACTTGTGTACAAGAACTCTGGGCAAAGCTAGCTCCAAAAGTTATGAACAGAGACAGACAAGTCAATGAGGAAAGGGATGTTGATGGGAATCAATGACTTCTGGACTGTCAAAGGATACAAAGAGTCACATGCCCCAGGATGCATCTTAGCTTCTTATTGGAACTGGAATTGGGCCTTGAGATTTTTATCTTTGATTTGCATGGGACTGAATGTCAGTTCAACAGGCCACAAGGAAGAATCCAATACTCTTCCTCTGCTTTTGCAACTCCAGAAATTTGGTACTGGGAAAAAAAATAACTTGGGTAAAACTATCTAGGTAATATTTCCTCAGTCCAAGATTGCCCAGGCCAATCCAAGTGCTGGTTAAGAATCGTGACTTCTCATCTGTTTTCCTGGCTTAGAACAGTGGTGGGATTCAAGTATGTGAACACAGTTCTCTGTGTTCTGGACCTGGGCAACAAAAAATTAGCTACCGGTTCTGCTGAACTGGTGCGAACAGGCTGAATCCCACCACTGGCTTAGAGTGTTGTAAACAGGTTTGGAGTGTTTGAGGCTATTAATAGAGGTTTTCTTCAGTGAAAGAGCAAATGGAGTTCCATATCTGTTGCAATGGGAAACACAGTTGAAGGTAGAAGTTCTCAGAGAGCAGTGAATAGTGATTTCACAATGGTTTCATACAAATTATTCTGTGCCTAAGATTCTGTATAAGACCTTTTGTTAATCTAGTGTTGAGTAGAAAGTATTCTAAATATCACCATGGCTGTGACAGCAATTCTGTGGCAAGCAGCAATAGTTTATAAGGAATGAAAGTCTATTGTCACTAAAGCAGTGTTTATAAAAATAATTCCTGGTGATTGTGTGGTAAAAATCAATAAATCTTATATCCTTTCAGTAAAACAAAAATAGAATTAATTTAAAATGTGCACCTGAGCTGTTTTGATAACAAGCTTGCAACAATATGAAAGGTTTCAACTATTGTCAGAAGAAGAAATAGAAGCATTTAATAGAAAATGCAGCCTCTTCTCCCTGGCCTTAGCTGAAAGTTTTAATGGTATCTGCTGCTGATGGTTATTTAAAAAATGTCTTTTAGTAGAATTTGTATTAGATGTTGATGAATATTTTAAAATAGGGTTGAAACTGAAGTGCTCTCTGCTCTGGTAGGAATTTTAAAACTGAATTGAAATGAAATGAATTTTGATTAAAATTATTGATAATATGACATTAAACATTTTGCATGGCTTTAATTCTATAAGCTGTTGTGGAAAGATAAGTCCTGATAATTAGCTAAGATGCAGGTCAAGGAATGCTAAAAGAGTAGCTAGTAATGTGCAATAGGCAAAAAATAAAAGGTTTATAGCACCTTAAAGAACTAACAAAGTTTTTGTGATATACCATACTTTCCGGCATATAAGACGACTTTCGAAAGCATTGAAATTGGTGCCGAAGTCGGGGTCGTCTTATACTATATATTATAAATTTAATATCTTATAAATAGGCATAACATTACTAAAAATGACTTTTGTTTTTATACATAAAGGTGTATAAATTGAGCCCAACATTTCCATTAATAAGCAAGAATTTTATTTTTTTTGTCCATTTTACGACCTTTCTTGTCAAGTTGTTAAGTGAATCCCTGCAGTTGTTAAGTTAGTAACATGGTTGTTAAGTGAATCTGGCTTCCCCATTGACTTTTCGTGATCATATAACCCTGGACATTGCAACCATCATAAATATGAGCTAATTGCCGAGTGTCTGAATTTTGTTCATGTGACCATGAGGATGTTGTAATGGTTATAAATGTGAAAAATGGCCATAAGTCAGATTTTTTCAATGACATAACTTCAAAAAGTCACCAAATAACTGGTTGTAAATTGAGGACTACCCATACATGCTAAATGCAGTGAGATTATTATAGGCAGAAAAAGGGAAAGATTCAACATTAGTCACAATGAGAGAAATGGATTGGGATGAGCAAACTGACATCTTTGATAAGAGAAAAGACATTAGCTATGTTTAATGCTAATTAGAAACCCCTCACAGACTTTTGTGTGAGATAGAAAAAAAATGAACTTATGATATATGGTTTTGTTGATTAGAAAAAAAATAGATTATAGAAAAATTAAAGTCATTCTGTAAACATCATTTTTAATTTATATCTATAACAACTATAAAAGAAAATTGGAAGTAACCTTTATATTTCCTTTCCTTTAAATATTAGTTTATTTTAATTCTTATCATTCTTGTTTAAAATCTTTATAAAGTTATTTTTAAAAAATCAAGCAAGACATTTTTCCCAATTCTATTTTTATTAGCTACAATCCAGATGTATCTTTGAGGTCTTAATATACTGTGTGTGTGTGTGTGTGTGTGTAGGTCTTTGGTTATTCGGGTTTTATATATATTAAAATCCCTAGTGGAAATAGCTGAATATATTATTGCATACAGACACACTTGAAACAGGAATAAAATTAGAACTTAGTTCCTAGGGACATAATTTTGAAACAATTGTTTTTAAAATGAGAGTCTTCTCATGACTGTGTTGTTAAAAATAATAATAATACTATTAATAATAAAAGCAAATACTTTCCCACAGTCAATACAAAGTATCTACTTTGGCATGGCTAAGTAGCAGCCTGCCTATGGCAACAGTCCTACTTCAATTTGTATGCATACACTTTACTTGTGTTTAGATACTAAAGGAGGGAAGATATGAGTCACAATTTTGTGTGCATGTAAGAGCACATACATACTCAGACTCACAAATGAAAACACGTTGAAAAGTATTGGGCAGCACAGTTAATTGTGAAACTAAACTCAAATACCTTATTAATAAAAACAGAAGACCAGTAGGTTATACCTGGCTTGCTACTAGCTAGCAGAGATAGCTGGTCTAGTATACTATAGTTCACATTCTTAAAGACCTATGAATATTGGAAAACTCAAGGTAATTAAATTGTGAGGCAAGGATTCAGGTTACCTTATATGGACAGGTTAAATTAAATGCAGAAAGCTAATGAAACAGATGGAATCTCCTCAGTTTGATCAGAAGACATATAGATACTACTATATTTCTCATCATAACCTTTAACTGGGTGAAATGGTGCATCATAGGGCAACAATTTTTGAACCAAAGTACATAAAATGGGCTATTTTACAGAATGTGTCCAAATGTAGGACCCCTATCTCCTGTGGAATTGAAATTTGGCCAATTATGTAAAACATTTTATAACATAAAATTATCATAAAACAGTTTATTACATAATGCAAAATGCCATAAAATGTTTCCTGTGCTAAATAGTTCAACATGGGCTATTTTCAAGGCAGATACATCTTTGAATGCATCCCAACTTTTCCAGTGAAGCCAATACATTAGAAGTTCTGTCACTGTTGAAGGCATTGAGAAATCTGGTTAAGAAATATTTCTGAAAGAATGATCCTCTGGGACATGGATTGTCTAGTAATGAATAAAAGGCCACTGGCTGGATTTATAAAACATGCTAACCTATAACCCATAGTGTACAACCTATGACAACTGGAATCGAGACCACACAGAGCCAAATCCTAAGATACTACATACATACTGTACATACATACATATATAAACACATTTCTTTTTTTATTTTAATTAACTGTGATTTTCTGTATTCTGCTTGCTGTCTATGACTGAATAAAGGTTTGTTTGTTTGCTTGTTTGATTGATTGTCATGTGATGTGTGAAACATGCCTTTGATCAAGTTCATGTTAGTGTGAATTGCCTTGTTTACCCATGGTATCTTTTAGGATTTTAAAGCAGTAATTACCCAAGACTATGTGGAATAGCCCTCTCCTTAGTCTCTAATAAATGTTTCCAAGGAGGACAGACTCATGATAAAGCAGAGCAAAGGCTGTCTAGCTCAGAATAATGAATAGTTGATAAGAGACAGAAAGTAAAATAAGAGCTGAAGGAAGATTTGAATTCCCAAAACATAAGGGCTGATACAGTACTTACAATATCTGCCATTGCTTTCCATGTTGCAGTATGAGAAATAAAGGCTAACTGTATTTTTTAAAATTAAACCCAAAATGTAACATGCAAAAAATAAAATGACTAATCTAAGTCTTTTTTTAATCTGTTCATTCTTTGAACACTTTTGAATATATTTGTGCTCATGCTGAATTTGCTAATTCATCTGAATTCACACTTTTAATGCTCCCTGCATTTGACACAGATGAGAGACCTAGCATTCAAATAATGTGTAGAAAATTAAAATGTTTTCCATCTAAGTCACTATAGTGAATAAAGTTTGATAATAGTACGGCTAATTAATAAATTAATCCATGTGTAAAGCTCTAAAGTTGATGCATTTTTATAGGTATATATATTTTAATATAGTGGAGAAAAAAGAACATAAACTTTCTACTAACAGTGTTGTTCTTAATCAGTATCATATATCTCTTTCTTAGCTTCTTGCTGGCCAGTATTTAAGCATGTTTTCCTCATCATGACTGTATCTCCTTTGCTGGTGACCTACATAAACTTGGAAAGCTAACTCTAGATTCTAGAAAGTTGGTTCTTAGAATTTCTAAATATAACAGTCATAAGTAGAAATGATTACTTTCTCATAAACAGCGATTCTCAGAGGATCACTTTTTATGCACAAAAACATAAAACGATACAATTTTTCCCATGTAGTTTGCATTTATTAAACAAATGCAAGAAATCAATCTAAGTACTTTTGATCACTTCCTTCCCTAGAAAGGTTACTTTGTAATGATAAAAACAAAAAGTGTAAAATGTAAAATCTTTCTTACCAACAATCATATGGTTGCAGACATCACAGAAAGTGGGTTTTTTGAAGATGTGTTCCTGAAAAATGTGAGTCTTGTCTTCTGGCTGGAGATGGGTATTGGTTGGAGTAGAGTTTTGACTTTCCAAATTAGGGAGCTGCCCTGATCTAGAGGTGATTTCTGATAGCAAATCTACTTGCAGCTTCGTGCCACAGTTTGTTTGTTGAAAAAAGTTGTCTGCACTTTTACTCCTCAAACTTTTGGTCTTGAAAGAAAGTGATCGTTTCAATTTCTGGAGCTGAAAAAAAAAATCAACAATAGCATTTTTCTCCTCCAAAGGCAGAATTCAGAACACATGGCATGTAACCATTATATGCAATTCCCACTGATATTTAGTGTTCAGGCAATTTCAAATAACTAGAATTCTAAGACAGACAAGACACCTTCAATAGTAATCACAAACCTGCAATAGAGCCAATCTTACTTACTTATTTATTTTTTTAAATATGAGCTTTCAGATGCCATAAGATGCAAGCTGGATAAAAGAAGTTAACCTCAATCAGAGAATTTTATATACTTTCAGAACCAATTCTAACCAATATGCTATTTATACAATTATATATCAGCATCTCATTTATCTTAGTCTACATATTTGCCTTGTCAGGTGGCACTAAGACATAGGCAAATCTGCCTGGCTTCCAGTTCTGCGTGGCCTTGGCTAGTTAACCTCATTCGTTTCCACACAATTAATATGGAAAAAAGTTCTGCCAGCTTGTTCATGATAATGGTGGGATAGCAGCAAAAGCTCTGCTGTAGCCCTAGTTGTGCTGAAACTCTGAGGACACCAGGCTTCTCCCAGACTTGTTTACTCTTGCATGGGCTTGCTGCCAGTTCAAATACTTGGCCTCAAAATAGGTGGGAGGGGGAGGGATACTGTGGGAAATGGGCCACAGAAGTAATAGAGCATTGTGCCTAGCAATGGGGAAGAGGGCACAAGAGGAAATGTGTTCTAATTTGCTCTGGGGCAAAAAAGGAAGCCAGTAATACTGTTGGCAATGTTAGAGGGCATCAAACTTACCTAGTTTAGACCTCTCACAGAGAAGTAGGCATTTGAGGCATCCCTGTTTCAAACCCTTCAAATCCTTTTCTTCAGTCAAATCTGCAATAGTCACCTGCGTATTTGCCACACTGAACTCAAGCACACTCAGTTAGTACCCAGACTTCAGGGGCTCATGAGCTATACTTAGCCTTTGGATAGTGTGCTGGGAACTGCATTCCAAAATTGAGTGGAACTAACACTAATTCTCCAGCATGATTGGATGGAGAACCCACGGATGGGTTGTCTTAATCTATCTGCTCCAATTAGACTAAGTCTGAAATTTAGTACCGCCCCCTCTGTGCCAACTGCACCACAGTTTTAGACTTAGCTCTTTGCTCTAAGACGCGTTTTTTCTTTGCTCCTGGAGCAGAAGACTGTGTATTTTCCCCTTTTTCTTATTCTGTTAGCCTAGCTCTAACTCCTCATTTTTCATTATTTAATTGATTTCATTAATTAATTTCATTAATATAAAGAAGATTTCCAGCGATTGGAATCATCCTCACCTGACTGCCCAGCCGGGCTGACAGGCTGGGCATCCATAGACCCTTTTTTTCCTCACCTCTTCTGAGAGCTTCCATGAATTGCTGCTAACAGAGCCAAGCTCTAGTCTGACTTTTACAACTGACTGCAGCTCCGGAAGCTCCGAAACTTCAGCCGCCACCTGGTCGATTCCCCCGCTGTCAGCTGTTCGTTGGAGGACTCGTTTTTGACGCGCTGACTGCCCGCGGCTCCGGAGGCAAGGGTAAGCCTCGTTGATCGACTGGGGGGCTCCGCAAGCAGCGACTAAGGTTGCCAGGCCTGGAGGGAGCTTTTTTAGGTCCCTCGGCCTCTGTAGATCATCGTAAGGCAAAAGAGAGGGTATCGACGATGATCTAACTTTCCGAGGCCTGAAAGCCTTATCGGGCCTAGGCCAGTCTCAGCGTCTCCCAGCTGACTATTCAAACACCCTCCGCTGCGCTAGGAGCCCAGGCGATTCCCTGGAACGAGGGCTCATCGCAGCTTAGGCCTCAGGCCTCACAGGCCTTCCTTCCAACGGCTGTTTTTGGCACGCAGAGCTGCGGCTGCCATTTTGAATCACCTCCCGGCTGCCATTTTGAGACTTACAGAGGCCCAGACTGCCTGCAGGAACATTCTAGAAGGCAGTTTTTGACAAGTTGAGGCAGAGGCCTCTAAAATTGATGAACCTTTCACAGGCAGATCGGATTGGGGAGGGAAAGCTCGTTCCGGAAGGACGCACTGCCTACCAACCCCCCATTGCCCACCCCCCTCACCGGGCCGGATCATCTGTGCTGGGCTCCCTTAGTAAGTATAACGCTGAGGGGGGGCGTTTTTGCTGAGGTTGAGCCCAAAGCAGATTCATCATGGCAGAAAAGTCTACCAATGAACCGGCCAAGAGGAAACATCCTACTGAGGCAAGTGGAAAGAATAATTCCAAGCGAGCCAAGTCAAGCAGGGAAACCACTAATCCACAGAGGGCAGCTTCCCCAGGTCAGACAGGCACAACGGGAAGGTCCATTTTTGAACCCCTTTCCTCACATTGTGCCTCAGCCCCAGGGGCCTGGTCTCCCCCCAGGGGAATTTCCCAACCAGAATCAGCCACAAAAGCGGCTCCAGGGACAGGCTTGACTAGCCAAGATACCCTTAATTTGGGCCCTCAGGCCACATTCACCCCCACTGCAGCAGGGCTTCGCCCCCCTGAGAACCAGACTCTAAATCCGGACTACCTTCAGTCCATGATAGCCCAGGCTGTGGCTCAATTTATGGCTTCCAATGCCCAACAGCCACCTCCACAATCCATGTATCATTCCCAATCTCCAGATATCATGGATGAACCTTCATCAGATCTAGAATCAACAGGGGCTGAACCATCGGGCCTGATTATGTCAGAGGATGAAGGTATCACTTCATCTGACCCCACCCCTCCTGTCTGTCTCTTTGACCATTCACTTTTTAATTCCCTGCTAATCAAGGCCTGCACAACTGCAAACCTCCCTCAAGAGCAGGAGACCCCACCTACAACATCCAAGGGTCCCCACGCCATATATACCGAGCCCTCAGTCTCTCAGAACCATATCCCCTGCCCTCCCCTTTTTCTCAATATGGTTCAAAAACAATGGGAGAATTTAGGATCCCTCTCAAATCCTGGTGCCGTAGAGAAGACATTATTCAATGTTGCCCCTTCTCTGACCTCCCTATTGGAGATTCCTGAGATTGATGAGTTATTGAACTCATTGTTTCCCAATGCTAACATTCCTGGGGATATAAATGAGGCACTTAGGGCGGAGGATAAAAAGATTGACTCCGCATTGTGTAGGTCCCATCTGGCTTCAGCCTGGGCAACAAAGGCGGCAACATCCATGGCCTTCTTCGCCAGGGCTTCAGTCCTTTGGTTACATGAGCTCCAGGACATGATCCCTCCGGACCAGCTCAGAGCTCACCAAAATCTGGGTAAGTTAGTGGCTACGTCCCAGTACCTAGCCGACGCTTCTCTGCATACGGCTAGATACACTGACCGGACCATCGCTGCAGAAATCTCAGCACGAAGGCTCCTTTGGCTCAGGAATTGGTGAGCAGACACCAAGGCCAAGTGGTGTCTGGCCTCTAAACCTTACACAGGTGGACATCTCTTTGGTAAGGCACTAGAACCATACTTAACTGAAGGTAAGGGCAAACGTAAAACTCTGGTTAACTCATCAAAGAAAGGAGATAAACGCTCGGGGAACAGCATGTCACAGAGCAATTACAGGAGGCAGCCCTTTCGGCCAGCTCCATCCTGGGACTGCGCCCAGGCATCTCGCTATTCCTTTCAGAGACAAGAACGACAGCAAGATCGTTCAGCATACAGAAGCAGACCACAAATCCAGGCCAAGCGGCCCTTTCGAGGTGCGGGGGGCCGTTCCTTTAAACGAGGCAAGTGATCTCGCAGTCTCACCTCCCATAGGAGGCCGGCTGGCCCTTTATTCCAGCACTTGGGCAGCCACCACTACAGATGCATGGGTGTTAGACACCGTCACCCAAGGTCTGAGACTAGAATTTTGTTCTCAACCACCTGACAAATTCCGCTCTTGCCCTATTCCAACAAGCAGGTCCAGAGCTGATCTTATGTCAGAGGCCATAGCTCATTTATTACAAATACAAGCAATTGAACCAGTACCACAAGACCAAGAAGGATGAGGGTTTTACTCAAACCTCTTCATCATCCCTAAGACTTCGGGGGGCTGGAGGGCAATCTTAGACTTGAAGGGTCTAAACCTTTACTTGAGGTATAAAGAAGTTTAAGATGTAATCATTTCAATCAATCCTGGCCAGCATCAGGCAAGGTGACTTTCTTACCTCAATAGACCTGACTGAGGCATATTTGCACATTCCTATTTTTCCTGGCCACCGCAAATTCCTCAGATTCAGTTATGCCCAACGCCACTACCAGTACAGACCCCTACCATTTGGCCTCTCATCGGCACGGAGAGTATTTACAAAGGTACTGGCAGTGCTCGCAGCCCACCTCAGACAAATTCCAATCTGAATTCAATGCTATTTAGATGACATACTAATTCAGTCATCATCATTCCAAAACGCTCAGTCAGACCTCTCCCTAGCCATCAGGGTCTTTCAGGAGCATGGGTTTTCTGTTAATTTCCAGAAAAGTCATACCGTACCAACAACCCGGCTCCTCCATTTGGGCGCTGTTATAGACACAGACAATTGTATGGTCTACCTATCTCAGGACCAATGGAACTCTATTCAGACTCTTGTACATTGGATCCGAAGGGACAGAGTAGTCACTTTGGCCTCCCTATCACAGCTACTGGGGAAAATGGTGTCCTGCGTGCAAATTATGCCATGGACACGTCTCCATGCCAGAGAATTACAGTGGCTTCTCCTTCCATTTCAGAGATTTCACACCAGCACATCCCACCAGAAGGTCTGAGTTCCACGGTTGGTGTTGAACTCCCTTCGATGGTGGGACTCCCCGGCTCTGTCACGGGGAGCAGAATTCAAAGAACCAGACAGGATTACCATTACCACAGACGCAAGCCTGTTTGGGTGGGGGGCACACCTCCACACGCACTGGGCTCAAGGACGTTGGTCCAAGCAGGATCTAAAGAACAATATAAGCTGGCTGAAACTCAAAGCCATACATATGGCCCTAAAGAGATTCAGCGATATAGTACAGAGCCAACATGTCCTGATTTTAACCG